TTGTTTTTTTCTAATAACCTACTTCCCCCAGTTTTCTTCACACACACCAGTCTTGGTCGTCTGCAGAATTTTACTCAGGATCAGATGTTTTAAGTTAGGAGTAAGGTGGAGTTTCTGCTTCAGAAACTCACATTCAATTAAACGCTGAAGCAGAACATAACCCCAAAATGCTTCATTATAAAAAAGTTAAATGAAAATATTTGGATTTTTTCTTAGCTCTCCATTCCTTTTCTTGTCTTGGAAATGGCAGTGGGGTGGAGACACGAATATACTAATTATTTGAAACTTCATTTTGACAAATAAATGAATTTACAAATGTTCCTGTAGCCTAAGGTTGTCTGAGTGGAGCTGTTTTCAAGGCCTAGTAATGAAACATTTGGAGACTTAAAGCATCACAAGGACTGACAGGACTAGATGAAATGCTGCAGGAAGAAGGAATAGCGGCAACAGCATGACCTCAAGAGACACAACAGACCTAGAGAAACCTTTTTGCTAGCCAAGAAAACTGCAGAAATGTCCCAATGCCTGTGCAGGAGCCTGGTGATCATCATATTTGTTGTTCTGTAGCATTAGGCTTCTTACCTTCACAGCATGCTTCCCTCTGTCTCCTCCTGACACACTTTCCCACCACCTGGCAGGTGCTGGCAGCTCTTCCAGCATCTCGTTTCCAAACCACAGAGTGGCCTGGGGTTTCACATCCAGAAAGCCAACTACCCAGCCCAATTTTGGAAAGGCCCCTTGGTGCCACTCCTGTTGTCATAGGAGCCTCTCTCTGTGGCTCGTGAAAGGCATGGAAGAGCTTGCTTACAGCAGGGCTAGGGTGGGCACTTAGCAAGTCTAGGGACTAATTGTTTTTAAGTCCCTGGTGGAGAATGCTATAGGAATTCCCAGTGTTGTGTGATACCAACACAAGGGAACACTAATACAATTTCAATTAAAGTCACAACAAGGCTTTTACATGGCTTTTGTTCTAATCTTTTCTTCACCTTTGTATGTATGTGGACAGAGGCTACTCTTTAGTGTCTTTTTGTCCAGTGTCCAAGAGGTACTCTTTTCATTATTTTCTACAAGTTGCAGTCCTTAGGGTGCTGGGATATGCTCAGGTCCAGAGGCAGTTTGTCTGGGCATGGCTGAAGGGCTAGTTAGGATTTTGCCACTCAGGTCTGGGTCTGAGTAATCTTTTGAGGACCTGGAAAAACTGAGTAAAAGACATGTCATATATGGGCTGGAAGTGACCAGTTGAGAATAATAGTACTGAGTCCTGCACCTTGGATGGTGCTACCCCGGATGTACAGATAGACTGGGAAACAAGACTCTGGAGAGCAGAACTGAGGAAAGGGACCTGGGGGCCTGGTTGATGGCCAGTTGGACATGAGTCAGCAGTGCCCTGGCAGCCAGGAGGGCCAACCATGTCCTGGGAGGCATCAGGCAAAGCATCACCAGCTGGGCCAGAGAGGGGATTGTCCCGCTCAGCTCTGCACTAAGGAGACCTCACCTGGAATATTGGGGAAGTTTTGAGGACCACAATATGAGGCAGATATTAAGCCATTAGAGAGTGTCCAAAGGAGGGCAACAAAGATGGTGAAAGGCCTTGTGGAGAAGCCGTGTGAGGAGAGGCTGAGGACACTTGATCTGTTCAGACTGAGGGGAGACCTCGTTGCAGTTACAACTTCCTTGGGAGGGGAAGAGGAGGGGCAGACAATGATCTCTGCTCTGTAGTGACCAATGACAGGACCCAAGGGAACGGCCTGAAATTCTGTCAGGGAAGGTTTGGGCCAGGTATTGGGAAAAAGTTCTTCCCCCAGAGGATGGTTGGGCACTGAACAGGCTCCCCAGGGAAGTGGCCACAGCACCAAGGCTGCCAGAGCTCAAGGATAATACTGGATAATATTCTCAGGCACATGGTGTCACACTTCAGGATGGTCCCATGCAGTGCTAGGAGTTGGACTTGATGATTCTTGTGGGTCTCTTCCAAATCAGGCTGTTTCATAATTCTATGATTCTAAGTCTCCTCATTCATAGGTGACTGTGCCCTATTCACTGCCATTTTTTTATTGAGAAGGATCTCTTGAGTTCCTTACAACTGGGAAGGATAACAGTAAAATGGCAACAGGAAAGAATTTTGACATCTCTTGAAGATGTAAAGGGTAGAAACATGAGTTCACCATCACAAACATTCTGATGTTATAACTTTTGAGGCAAATTTTTTGAGAATCAGAGAGGATCCAGACCTTCTCACCTTATCAAGCAGCAACTGAAGTGCTTTTTTGTCACTGACAATAGAGGAAATCCAAACATTTGGCTGAAATCAGGAAGAGCAGTGAGAGGGACCAAACCTGCGTTTTCAGAGATTAATGGTCTTCCTACAGAGTTCAGCAATCTTCCCACTCCTTCCACAGCAAGCATCTTCATACCCTGATGGATCTCCAATAACTATTGACTGCCCCCTTTATCTCTACAGATCCCTCATAGACTGAAGTTTAAAAAATCTACTCATAGTACATGTGTAAATCGTGATTGTTGCCAGAAATGTCATCGTATCATCAGTGCCAAGTACCCAAGGTCTGGCTATAATGCAGGCAACACTTTCTATAACTCCTAGTTAAGTCATCTGTTTCAAAGGCAGAACATATTCCCTCCAAGCCCTAACTCATTGCTAGGTAGTGCAAGTCAACAACTGGCTTCCTGCCTTCCTCTTAACTCATCAACCATCAAAATATGATAGAATGGAGAAATATCAATTGTTGTCTGGTAAAGAGAAGGAGAATTTTTTCCTTATTGTTTGCAGCTGGTCATCTCCTTAGCTTTGGTTCCTCACTGTGCTGTTATCAAACACGTGTTGGATGACACTTTATAAGAGGAGGGATCCTAAATGGAAAAGTGGAGCTAAATCAGTTTTGAAGAATCCTGTCAAAATAAAACAGGCATCCCAGAAATTCCCACCTCATCTTGTTTTGGAGTAGACAAAGCCTGCTGCAATAGATGCCCAGTGTTGATCCTTCAAGTGTATGTGAAAACAGCAGTAGTTCTAGTGTGCAGACAATTTATTGTTAATTAATTTGTCATTGCACTCTTGACAGCAATAGAGAGACCAGAGAAATATTCTCTATGGTACAAGGTTATTCTACACGTAAGACCTTCCCTTCTGTCAATGGGTCACTGAGAAACAGGACATCATTGCCCTGGAAATTCAGGAACAATCTCACAGGAGAGAGTAGCTGAGGGAAAACATGCAAATTTAACAAGGACATTCTTTTTCCTATGCATATGGTCTTTAAAATACACTGATCCCTGATTCTAAATACTATCAGGTACTTTGGAGGTAATTTTATCAGTGTCTTTATTATTCTGAGAAAAATTACCTTTTGTTTTTTTCATTTCCTTGAAGAAGATGCCAGCTAGGACCAAGAAATAGCTAAGAACTGTCAAAGTGGATGTTTCCAACTGGTTTCAGAAGTCTATAAATAATCAGATCATGCAGATAGTTGGAAACAGTTCAGTCATTATTGATAATCCAAAGCTTACAAAATGAACAATAGGTCCTATGGGCAGTAATACCCGACAAAAAATAACCAGCAGAAATTGATAAAAAGTAATATTCAATCTTAGATGACACTACATGCCATTTGATTCAACTCAAGGCTCCATTTGTGAGCCAGAATTTATTCTGTAGAAGGTAAATTGGTCGAGGGGGCTAGGAAGGAAAGAAACAGATCACGTTGAGCTCTAGCAGTTTCCATAAGAACTTTTGCAGAAATGTAACAAGGTGCATCAGGGCTGGGAAAAGACTTACGGTATTGGTAATATAATGCAAATGCCCATCAAAGACATTAAATGCAGCTACCAAAGCAGACAGTTTAAGTTCCAGCTCTGTCTCCCATATGTACTGGGGATCACACACATTTTTACAGTGCCCACAGAGAAAGAAGCTGATAATCCATTGTGAGCAAACAGTTTGGTACAAACATCAAATTCTAGTTCCAGGAATACCCTTTAGAACTTGTACAAAACTCTCAAAGGGTTTTAAAAATATATTTACCTATTTTTTTAATATATCTCATTTTATTTGTCCTTTGGAATATGAACTTTTTTTAACCAGGGATTTCAGGCCAATTCACTGAGGAAATATGTCTTTCAGGTAGGTTTGAAAGGGACTAGTCAGCCTTGGTAGAGAAAAATGATAAAGAACTTGGTCAGCCTCTCTGATTGGCTGGATTAGTTCTGCTATGTTGGAGACATAGCAGCCTATGTAGGAGATACAACCTGTTCACTCTGTTGCTTTGGCAAAGGTCTTGGTTGCAAAGTACCTTGTGAATCCAGGTCCACAAATGAGCCCTGGCACTGAAACAAGTCCAGCTCAATGTAGTTAGCTTCATGATGTACTCATGAATAGTGACAGAAAAATGCAAAAAATCTTTTCTTTACTCCTTGATGACATTACTGAGAAACACAGCCTGGAGGAGGCTGTGGGAGAAGAGTGTGAAAGGCGCTCTGGAACATCCTTGGCCCACACAAAACACATGGTTGAAGAAGGTTTTTGAGTCCTGCTGCCCAAGGGACTGATATGATCACAGTCATCTTTGGCTGCTTTTGACTGTACAGGTGGAATTAGAATGTTTGTATTTGCAACTGAGCCAGTTCAGAAAATTTCTCAGCATGAGTCCGTATGAAAGGCTCAGTTTTGTGCCTCTGGACACACAGGAACATGGTCTCACACAACAAATCACTTATTCATTTTAAGCATTTAGATTCTTTCTTGGCATCTTTGCAGTTTTGAAGTCAGAAGGGAACTGAAAACTCCCCTTGAAAGACATCAGGCTGACTTAGAACTCCCACACCGTATTGCCTTCCCCTCTGCCAGAAGAGATGAAATACAAGGCCAGCTAGTGCTTCAACAAAGGGCTTGGTAAGATCCCACAGGAGGAAATGGGGTAAGATCCCGCAGGAGGAAATGGTCAGATGTCTCGTTTCATGGGACACATGATGTGCTGCCCTATAACAGCAGCTTGCCTCTGCTCAACTCTAGCCTCTTAGACCTTCCTGATCTTTGAAAGAAGTGACTGTAGGGAGGAAAACTCAGTTCACCCCAAATAGCATGTTCAAAGCAGTATCAGGTTGAAGAACCACAATAAGGTGCTGCAAAGACATTGATCTATAGGTCTGAAGGAAAGGACATTAAATCACTGCTCATTTCTGCAAGTGTATTTGAAGGGATATATTGTATATTTTTGTTATTATTTTGTAATTTTTTCTCCAAAGGGGTTTCCCCAAATTTTTATTTTCCTTTATATGTGTCCAGTTCTCAATAAAGCTGGTTCTTTTCCTGATACAGCCATTATTCCTCTTACACTTTATGCTGGTGAGGATCTCATTTACTGTTTCCTTGACTCTTCCCCTGTAGTAATTTGTGGTATCATAAAGGGTTATTATATTGTTTGCTCTTACCTCTTTCTTCTCATCTTCTTAAATACATGTCCTTGACTAAGCAGCTTCCTCTCAGAGGTGAGCCTTCTTTCTTCACTGCTACCGTTTTCAGATCCTTTTAACCTTATTCTTGGCAATCTTAATATTGTAAACTGCAGCCTTCATATGGATTAACCACATTGATTGCCTTCTTCTCTCCAACCCTAAAATGTGTCTCAGAACATTTCCTGAATATTTTGATATCATGTACAGTGTAGTCTCTCCAAACTCACCATCAACAACACCCTGCCTTTTCAGGCCATGAAAAATATCTATCCTTGGATTCTACTTCTGTCTTACAAACCTGCTCATTTACTGTTTCATAGCTTTTTCACCACCAGGCATAAGAGATAGATCAATATGCACAAAGATTTAACTGTTTGCTTCTGTGTAGCTTAATGGTATTATTGTTCCCAATACCTATCCTATTGGCATTTGACACAACCTGGAGTTGCAGCATAGGTCTCGAACCCCAAATGCAAGGCAGATATTGACACAGATCACCTTGCCTCTCCCAGTCTCTATTTCTTCTGGCAGGCTATGACACCTGTGTACATATGAGTACTCAGTTTAGGGGCCTGACAGCTTTATGTCTGTCTGTCTGGGGCTGCTCAAGAGGTTGAAGCATTTTGGCAGTGCTATGAAACTCCTTCCTTACTTTCCTATCTTTCTTTCCCATTTTTCCACTTTATTGGTTAAGTTTTCAAGTGATTCTTCGTAGCTGGACTTTTCCTCTTGGTGTATATAAAGCTTCTGAAATTGTTTCGCTTGTATCAAACTAGTCATGGTTTGCAAAACATGACCTACTATTAGATAGTCAAACATATCTGAACTTCCTGAACATATTTCAGTGTATGATGATGGCGAACTCTGTCCTTCTACAACACATATGGAGGATAAATATTCAACTCTTGCTATCTGTTCAAAAACACTTGTGAGTTCAAAGCCCTAGGAAAAACAAACATCTCCTGCCAAAAGATGGAAAGCACATGTAACCTATGGAGAGCAGACCATCTAACCAGCAAAGGAAGTGGAGAACATATTTTCCATAAGGCAGCTAAATAGCATCCCTGTGCCACAGTTGCAATGCAGTTCTATGATTGGGCCTACGGTTAATGAAATTCCTGTAGGACTGTCAGAAGATTTAATTTCACTGTTTACTGAATTATCAGCACAATAGTGAATCCTGTATGCCAGCTCTTTGCGCCAGAGAAGGAAAATTGCCAATCCAGAGAACAGGATTCATCCGGGGGGGGAGGTCTGCTGCAACATAGAGGGGTCCGCTGCCATTGTACCCACAGCTTGTTGGAACAAATATATCCCTGGTGGAACACCTTTAAGTTGTATGAAATCATCATTCTCATCTCCAAATAGAGGCAAAGAGTGAGGCTGGGGATCACATTCAGCCACAGTACCAAGAGATGCTCCATTGGACTGGCAGATCAGGCTGTTAAGTGGAAAAAGCCACCATGTGCATTTGAGCCCACAAGTTGTCTGCAGTGCAAGGGGAATATGGAAAATTAAAATGTAGGCAGTGAGGGGAAGACATGAAATAACTGCTCACATTTTATGAGAGGCTGATAAAGCAGTATCCTTCTGGAATGTGATAACAGCAGGACTGGGGCCCATGATCAAAGAAAATTTAATCTAATTGTGCGTTGTATTTTATTTTAACATCCATCCACTCTGATACCTTAGTAAAACACATGTACATAAAGAAACTGTGCAACCACGATTCCCATTTGTTGTGCACCCACTGCTATCTATGCCTTTGCAAAGTGAGTTCAAAAATGCCAGTGTGCCGGGATGGCAGTTTTCCAGTTAATTTGGAAAGGTAACTGATGAAAGGACCAAAAGCAATGCAGGTTACCTTTAAACTTAAACATCAGAGACCTTAGACTACTGGGTTTTATTCACCAGTTTGCTTTGTCTCATATTACAAATAGGCAGGTGTCTTGTTTATTTATATTATACTGAGCAGCTCTGTGGAAAACTGAACTGTTTGTGCGGGGAAGTCAAAATGTCGTTTAGGAGGGAACATATAGTTGACCATGTAAAGAAAAGTCATATGCAAAATTGCATGTTTAACTTTCATCTGAATTTTTACCCCGCAGGTATGGAAACTGAAAGACAGTTCTCTTTTTTTTTTTTTTTTTTTTTTTAAAAGATAGAATTTTTTTACATCTATTTTAATAAATATTGCAGTTATTTTTATGTATCTGTCATTAAAAAAAAAGATATTTTACCCAGAAAAAAAACCAAAACAAATGCAACAATTCAAAGTGAAAAGTAATGTTTATTTTACTGGAATATCCTATTTGTAAGCAAAAATACCAAATAATGTTAGTTATTGTAACAAAAGAGGAGTTGTAGAAAAGAGGACAAGATGTAGAACATTCAATTGTCCGATTTACTCCTGTCGATATACTGTCCCCACTGTTATTCTTAGCAAATACACCTTTTGAGGCCAGTAACATTTAACACAGACAGAGATGATCCATAAACTCAATAAAGGACAGGCTAGCACAGATGAGAAGTGGGCAGCTTCTTTATGGTAAGTTGAGTACATCCTGGGCAGCTTCTTTATGGTAAGTTGAGTACATCCAAAGAGTGAAAATGGTGTGTTACATCCCCAGACTTCAGTTATTCTGTCTCAGAAAGCTTGTGTTGGCTTTTATACAGCAGTGAGCAGGAAGACAAGCTCTCCCATATGGACTCCAAATGTTTTAGGTCAGATTTGACAGGACATTGCTCAATTGCGATCTCAAATTATTGATGATAATATCTAATAAGAAATGACATAATTCAGGCTTCCGAGGGACAGAGAAATTGTTAACGTCAGAAAGAGTATCAGTGGGGAAAACTTCTCCACTTCTTTTAAAGCAGAAAGAAAAATACCTTGTTTCCTTTGGTATAGTAAGAGCTCTGCCACCTGCTCCAACATATTTTAACCACTGAGCTTTTGCAATGGGACATTTAAGGTCAATCTGATGTGTCTCCTATCCCAGAGGACATCTATAAATATCCTTTCAGGAATTCTGTGTAGATAAGACATATGGAAATATTCAGTGATAACAATATATTAAAAAATTGATAGACTATCTTCAGCAAGGAGTTCACCATGGACTTGCTGTTCAGTTTCACTGCTTAGTTCCTCTCTGAGACTGTATAGCACATATCAGAGTAAAATCTTACCAAATTGCTAAAGATATTGTAACCCATCACTGCTTACAGGTCTGCAGCTAATTGTGTTTCTATGGCTTCCATTCTCTGTATTTTTAAGGAAAAATGCAAAGTAGGAATAAAGTCACATAAGCAGAGGAGCACTGCTCTCATGCCTAATGTTGTCTAGCTTTGAGACTAGGACGCTAAAATGCTTTATAGTTATAGTTTTATTCCATATTTTGTAATTTCATTGATGGTTTTTCTCTATTTAGTGCAATCTCCATGTGCCATCTTCCACTATAAAATGATTTTCCCAAAGGTATTAAGATAATGAATGCAAAGAAATTCTAAACAAGAAGTGAACAAAATTTCACTGAAACTGACAATCAAGAAGAAAATCAGTTTGGTTTAAGGGTGAAAGGAGAACTGGTCTTGCAGCTGCAATTGATATTCTAGGTACTTCCAGTTTCTAGGAAATAAGTCCATCTTTTGAAATCAAAATATTATGAAGTCATTATACAGCACCAACATCAATAGGGTATCACAGCACTTAATAGGAAATTAATTTATGGAGGTCTTCTGTTCTGCTTTAGGATGTCTAATTTCACTGTATTCAAAACCCTTTCAGGGCCTGAAGCACTGGGCACAATGTGTAGAGCCTGAAAAACCTAATATTTTGATCACTAGACTTGAATGTAAACTAATAGGTTTTTTCCACTTTCTCTTTTTCCCTTCAAATTCCTTACACTTGGTACAGCAAAAGTCATGAGAGCTGAGAGCATCCAGTGCAAACATTTTCCATAGTTGCCCTACAAACAAATTCAGCAGTTTCATCAGTAAAATCGTCAGGGAGAACTGAAGGAACCTAAACAATGGGACATGCTTGTTGCACAGTGATCTTGACAACTACATGTGAAGTGGCAAACTATGGGGCACAAATTCAGATGCAGAATACTTGGGGGTTTCTTTGTTGTTGTTTTTTTGACTCAAGATGCCAACTATTTGGGGTACAAAGCATGAATAAATAGGTCAATTTTTTCCACATTTGCAGTTGAGATGTAGGCATATTTCTAAACACACTTCTCTCCATCTGACTTAGATAACCTGGAGAGAGAAATACTGAAATTTAATGTCACAACCCCTTTGCTTGAGCAAATCTTGCAGTAACAATTGTGCCTTCCATATCAAAGTGCTGTGCCAAAATCCTTAAAATATTTTACCCCTTGTAGTTCGGCTAAATGATTTGTTGAAGTGAAGTGTTAGGAATGAAAAAATGCTAACAATTAATCAGAAAAAGAAATATGAAAACTGGGCTCAGTACTTTACCGATAGGACTAATCTTTGAAAGAGAACTGCTTTTGGGACAGGTGAGTGTAAACAGTCACAAATAAGACAATAATAATGTGACTGGCAACATACATTCAAAGATCAAATGAGCATAAATGAAAATGGGGAAACACATTTTATATACACACTGACGCGAGTTTTTTATAAACAGGTATTGAAGAAACTGAAAAACATTGAAATAAAGTGAAAGTGGGCTATCCCTTCCCATGACTAAAAGGGAAAATAGGACTGGGTAGAATCCTGAGAGTCTGTTTAATCCTCCTGCCTAACCTAAATTAGTACTTTAAACATCATTAAGTAATTTCTGAGAGATTCCATTCAATCTCCAGTGAGAGACAACCCAAATACGCATTTTAGGAAGTTAATACCTGGTCTTGTGGAAGGTGTCCCTACCCAATACAGGGGCACTGGAACCAGATGATCTCTGAGGTCCCTTTTCAACCAAACCACTCTATAACTCTATAAGGAATATGATCAAAAGTGTGTCTGCCTGGATCCTACAATTTTGAAAAAAGACAGCATTATTTTAAACCTAACAAACCAATTGGAGATAAAGCTGCTCAAATGTCAGCTGACATGCCTCAGTCTTGACAGGTTAGCTTAGACAGCAAGTTACTGTGCTGAGCACTTTAAACACCCAGTGGGAAAAATTCAAATTCCATGGCTTAACTCTTGGAATCACAGTCTGTTAGGGAATTGTTTCAGATGAAAAATGGTGCTTTTTTCAGTCTTAGCAGGTGTCTACAGCATTACAGACAGTATAATAATAGAGGTATAGACTCAGCAGGGACATGATCAGAAGCTAGGAGAGGTCAGAAAATGAACATAAGCAGAAAACATCACATTTAATTGAGAGAGAAAATGCAATGCAAGACCAAAAGAAAAAAAAGGAAAAAAGGAAGAAGAGGAGAAGAAGAAGTTGTGGCACATTCTTTAATATCAAAGAATCAGGGTAGTCAAGATCACAGTATAAGGACTATGAAATGTAGCTTAGACAGAAAATAACGGTCACAAGCACTGTAAACACCTAGTGGGAAAAATTCAAATTCCA